CTATATACTATATACTATATGTTATATATAATATACTATATACTATGATACTATATACTATATGTTATATATAATATACTATATACTATATACTATATGTTATATATTAAATATTATATATTATATACTATATACTATATACTATATGTTATATGTTATATACTATATGTTATATATTAAATATTATATATTATATACTATATACTATATACTATATGTTATATGTTAAATACTATATGTTATATGTTATATGTTATACTAAATACTAAATACTATATACTATATATTATATGTTATATACTATATGTTATATGTTATATACTATATACTATGTACCACACTATATACTATACTATATGTTATATGTTATATACTATATACTATATGTTATATGTTATATACTATATACTATATAGTATATGTTATATATTATATACTATATGTTATATACTATATACTATATGTTATATATAATATACTATATATTATATACTATATACTATATGTTATATATAATATACTATATACTATATACTATATATTATATGTTATATATAATATACTATATACTATATGTTATATATTATATACTATAAAAAAATTTTGATGTTGAAGTATAACAACATAAGTTGTGCAAAACTTTCAGCGATAGCCTAGCGCGGCCTAATGGTAACGAGGTGCGCCCAGAGATAACGGACTCGCCCACCCGGGTTCGAGTCCCGAATTTGGGATGCTCATACCATTTTGACGGGGTTTTTTTTTTTATATATAAACCGTATTCTCTGAATACGGTTTATAAATAAATATTAATTCTATGAAAACGTATTCACCAAATACGTTTTTATTATGTACTTTTTTTAAAACGTATTTAGGGAATACGTTTTGAGCTGTAATAAAAAAAAAAATGTTTTTTCAATTGTTTGAGCATTTAAAACCTGTTACAAATATTCATAACAACCAACTACACCAAAATACATAAACAAATTAACTCATATTCAGTCCAACATAACAAAAATATATCATCCAAACGTAGTCTAACAAATCAAAGTAAACAATAAAAAAATAGTCCAACATAAAAAAAAGATAAACACTAACAAATCTAGTTATCCCACTCATCACGGACTCTAGATCTATCAGTGCGAGGATGGGAGGACGGACAGTCATCCACAAAATGCTGTGGATCACCACATCTACTACACTGTCCTCTATCAGCCCGGCGGCGTGCCCGACGATCCATTTGCATGCGATGACGCTTCGTTTGCGCGCGACCGGGTCCAGCCTTCGTGATAATCCTCTCCCAATTTGGTAGTAAGTTCCATCCGACTAGCGGCCATGTCTCTGGATCACCAATCGGAGCAAAACTCCAATTAGAAAATTGAGCCAGCCAGTTCTCCGTCCAAAAGTGGGGATCGTACAACACCTTTGGTTGACCTTTTATTTGACGACACACAGCTATAGCATGAGAGCATGGTTTCCTGTGTGTCTGCCCCTTCTGACAACTACAACGCATCCGGTTGTACGAAACCTTATACCTGTTTTTCTACATTTAATTATATTTATAAACAACTGAAAATTTTAATGAACCAAAATAAATAAAATAATAATTATACAATAAATAAATAAACCGTATACTTTTTGTCGCCTCTACCATCAGCCCGTAGACCGGTTGTCACCTTGTACAGTGATCTCTCCGCGTTCGAACATCGCACCTTATGAGTTGCGGCCGTACTCTCCAATTCGCAATAAGCGGCATAGTGGACACTAGCAATGGCATTACTGCATCTCGTGGACTTCTTCTGTTCCTGCTCAAACAAGTCTAGAGTTTTCATGAATGTGGCGTGTACCAAAGCTCGGCAGGGCAAGAACCTAACACCTTTCAGGACGTTGTTGTAACTCTCGGACATGTTAGTTGTCAAAGTACCCCATCTACGTCCACCGTCTCCAAACAGGGTCCACTTGTCCAGAGGAATTCTGAACAGGTAATTGTATGCGTCCGGATTACAATCCTAAAGCCGCGATCGTATCTGTTCAAATTTTTTCTCTGAAACTTGTGAACCCAACTCCCAACACCAATTTCGGATTTTACTATTCCTGAACCTAGAAACCACGTTGCTCCGAAGGTGTCGAAGACAAATCCGGTGATATGCAGCGGGTTCTTGCCAAGCTTCCAATGAATCCACGGCACTTTGTAAGCCCGCATCCCTGTCCGAAAGAAAGCATATCTGTCTGTCGCCGACAACATGTTGCCGGAGATTTGTCAGGAAAAATGACCAGCTTTCTTGGCTCTCTTCATCGACAATCGCATAGGCGATTGGCAATAGCCGCTTATTCGCAGTCTGTGCAACGGCCACGAGCAACTTCCCCTTGTACGAGCCACGCAAATGTGTGCCGTCCATGCTAATTACCGGCGGGCATCTCTGGAAGGTCTGAATGGCGGGACCAAATGCCCAGAAAACAAATTTGAATTCTCTGTGCTGATAGTAGGCCGCCATTTCCCCACCTTGCCATTCCCACTCTACAACCATAGTGGGATTTGCTCTTTGAAGCGCCGCAAAAAACCTGCACGTTACAAAACGTAATCGTCAATACATAAATATAGTGACATATAACACGTACATTTTTAATAAATTTTTTCTTACTGAGGGAGTTCGGCGAAGTTCGATTCCCAAGTTCCATACAAACTATCGATGGCCTTTTTCCTCCCGTGCCATGCCTTCTTGTAGGTCACATCGACTTTTCAACATTTTTTAACATCCTCCTGGATCAGGGTAACACTGTAGTCGGACTTCTTTTGAATCTTGGTCATGACAAGATTTGAGATCATTGTGGCGGTTACATTTCTGTGGTCATTTTTTTCGACTTCTTGCAGACAACTGTGCCTCTCAGTCCATTCCGTTACTTCCCATAGTTCATGAACTCGTGTGCAGTGCGTCACCCAAGCGCTCCACGGACAAGGTTCATCTTCGTTGGACGTGCACACCACCTTGAATGATTTCTTATTCGAATAGGTTGTCTTAACCTCTCTCAACCTGCTAACGTTCCAACTCATGATACCCGTCTGTGCTTCTCCCTTGGACCGGAAAACAGTACCCAAACGGATAGTCTCGACATTCCCATTCCAGGTTGGCACGGCATACTCATCCCGGTCTACACACGCCGGGTCCCACTCACCCATCTCGCGATACACGTGCTTACCGGTACTAGGAAATGGGTGTTCTTCAAAAAATTCTGGTTCACTCTCCTCGTTTATTGATCTATCTGATTCCGTTTCCGAGGTACCATCTGTGAAATCGTCTTCACCGCGAATGAAATCATGATCACTTTCTTCCTCATTATCGCATTCTCTAACTGTTGAGCTTGTCCCTTCGCCAAAATTACGAACATGCGAAGTGGACGTACCCTCAACATCAGCCACTCCCCCGTAAAAAGGGGCAACATCCTCAAACTGCGTAACCTTTGTAGGTGCCTGCGTATCCTGCTTCAAATCTAAATGCAAATACACATAGGAGAAAGGAGGATAATTATATATCCAATCAACAGCACTATTAGTATTCAGGATTCCAATATTCCACGAACCATCGCGTTCGCTACTCAGTAAACTAATCTTCTCAATTATCCAACCATCTCGATGAAACCCAAAATTTTCATAAAGAATATCTACCAATTCTTTAAGTGATAGCTTCTCCCCAATGCTAAATGAACCATCCGGAGAGTTTTTAAAATCTGAAAAATCATATAACTCCTTCGGAACATTCCAATACACATTAACAAAGTATGGTCCGGTAGACGCCATTTATACCTGTTGCAAAAAGCAATTCTTCCCAATTACAACAACACATACTTTCTAACCCAACACCCCAAAAAAATCAATTATTCTTTTATCATTCACACAACAAAAAAATAAAATTCATCAATAACATATAAACACTTTCAATTCTTCCCAATTACAACATCACATAATTTACCAAAAAATTAAATTATTCTTTTACTCAATTCAAGATAAGTATTTCCAATTAATACTGCAATAACAAAAAAAAAAAATCAAATGTTCTTTTATAAAATAACTCTCCAAACCCTAATTCTCATAATCCAACAATACAATACAAATCATCCAATTTTCACAAAAATTCATCAACATACACCGAAATCCATCATCAAAGAATAATGTATAATCATTTAACACAACTATTAAATCAACAATAAATCTTTTCTAAACTATACTCATCAAAACCAACAAATATTCCTTACAAATTCATAAACAAAAAAAAAATATGTAATTACATTATATTAAAATAACAACTAACCTCTTCTCCGAATCGATTGATTGTTAAAGGTTTTTTTTTTTTATTTTGAGGTGAAGAATGGATGAAGGAAGTGATTTTTTTTTTTTTTCCTCCCGTTGTAATTTAATTTAATTTGTTAAAAATTAATTAATATTAAAAACCATATTAATGAAATACGTGTTTTAAAAAAATTATTTTTTTATAAAAAAACAAAAATTGATTTAATTAGGCATTAGGGTTTCCAATTTAAATTTGGGGTTTTCTTAAAAACGTATTTCATAAATACGGTTTATAATTAAAATTTTATATACATTTTTCGGCAATATGTTTTTAAAAAAATTAAACAAATTTAATTTTTGGACATATTTGCTAAATACGTTTTTCATTAAAAAAAAATTAGAAAAACGTATTTGCTAAATACGGGTGTTCTATTTTGGGCTACCCACTTTTTTTTTTTTTTTTTTTGTCCACTTATTTTTCAATTTTTTTTTTAAATAAATCACCCGAATTATTTGTCCAGCTATCAAAGACAATTGTTATCTGTCCAAGTCTTGGTTGTTTTCCCTGTATTTTCCTTGAAATAATCTATATTCTGAAGAGGCCTTTGTGATGGATGGATCATTCTCTTTACAGGCTTGCAGCAAAATAATTATAGATAAATCATTTTCTTTAAATACAAATAAAAAAAATGGGCAGGCCTGGCCCGCCAAACCCACGGCCCGAGGCAAGGCGGTTGGGCCTGTTTTGTAGGCCCGCCATCTATGGGCCGGCCCGTTTTGACAGCTCTAGTCTAAAGATACGAGTATTAAATGCTAAAACAAGATGTCATTATTTTTCTTCACTGGTGGTACATCAAGGGGCAACAATTATATGGTTAAGAGTGGAAACATGTGCGACTAGGCGCACGAAAATTGATCAACAGTTTATGCCTAATGAAGTACACAAAGGACGCATGGTTTAATGTTGTGATCACGAGTGAATTGCTGCTCAAGCTTCGTCTCCTCTGATTTGATGGGTCTTCCAATCAATGAATCTGAGGATCTTGTTATTGGTGATGATGTTACTCTTGATCATTGATGTAAATAATGTCCTCTTTGGACAGCTGCATCTTACCCTTGTCCCTTCTGCTATTAGCTCTGGCTTCGTCCGGTTGCCCTCGCTGCACAAGACATACAATTTCAAAAACCCTGATAAACCAACCATTGAGCTACTTTATTACTTGCTAAAAGAGAAAGGAAATATTCTACCTTTCTCAAAACAAAAGCCAGATATAAGTAGGCCACCTCCCATTCATCTGGCGACAGTGTACCTGAAAGCCAGAAAAAAATAAATAAATAAATAAATAAAATAAACAAATCAAAACTGGGCAAAAAATAGCAATAACGGTTTTGGATATGAAAGAAAAAGATAAAAGTTGGGACTTACTTAGATCTTCTTTACCATCACCCAAAGCACCTAGTCTTCGCATGAGCTCAACAAATTCGGGTTTCTTCATGTATTCATTCACAAATACATGCGAATTTTTTACAAAGACCAACTCCAAACCATACTGCATAGATACCATAATGGCATAAGGTAAAAGGCTTGTGATTAAAACTGACAACAAAAAATTTCTTTAAGGAATTGTACTAGCTTGACCAGATAGAATTGCCTAATTTAAAAGTGAAGGCCCCAAAACAATAATATAATGGGGGAAAAGAAAGAA